CCCCTTCCCCTTCCCCCTGCCCGGAGAGCCCCGGGGTAGCTGAGGGGCGGGGGAAGAGGAGGCGGGGCCCACCTAAAATGAAGGACTTTGAAAGAAATCCTGACCAGAACCCTTAAAATACCTGAACGAATAATAATGACAAGATAATCGTAACGTGAAATGATAAATCCTCAGGAAGGGGGTGGAAAAAAAAAGCCCTAAAAGCAGCTGCGAGGCCTGTGGGGCGCGGGGTGAGGGCGGGGGGCAGCGCCGGAGCCGGGCCTGGGCCCGGGAAGGCCTTTTGTCCCCTGCCCTGGCTCCCAGCAACGCGCCCGATGTGCCGCTGCTGCTGCTGCGGAGGGGTCAGGCCCTAACAGGGAATCACAACGGGACCCGGGCGTTCCCTGCCTGGAAGAGCCCCCATCTCCCTGACCTTTCTGCTTTTCAGTGCACGCGTTGCAGAGCACCCGGGCTGCTGAGGCGTTCCCTGGTTAAACTGGGATTGAAGCAGGACAACGTCAGCCCCTCCTGGTCCTGAAAAGGTACTGGCCTGCTCTGTCTGGCAAACTGCTCCAACAGCAGCCCCAGGGTCAGGGCTGCCGCCCTGCCTGGCAGGGGGAACTGCCCTGGCTTCTGGAGGCCTCCTGCTAAAACCAACCCCCAAACATATTTTAAAGCCCTGCTTTTGCATTTGCTTGCCTGTGCTTCAGCCTTTAATGCTCCTATTTTCTAGCTCCTAACCTGTAAAAGGTAGAACCACTCTGTATGTGAAATAAAAAGGAGGGAACCACCGTTTTGTCATGTGTCCAGAAGCCATCCTGATACCACCAGATACCATCAGGCCCGCATTAAAAACATGAAGCCCGATAAGTTTTCCAATGTACACACATGCCAACAAGCACAGCCCCTCCCCAGCAGGTTTGCAAACTTCATTGCTAGCCAACAACCTCCCTGAGCCCAACGGGACGAGTGTCGAGGCTGCAGAGAAGCATCGGCACCGATGGCAGCAGCCTAAAACCTTAAAAAACGGTGTGGGAGGAAACTCTAGTCCTAAAAATACCAGTCGCTGGCAAGCGTTTTCCCCCTCGCCTTTGAGGGGCTTTGCTTCTGCCTGGTGCTGAGCGGTGCCACCGCGCGGGGCTAACCCTCCTGTGTCTGCACAGGGCTCGCCTGCCGACTCCGCCCTCACGGGAAAGATGGGGAAGGGCTACAAGGTGGTGGTTTGTGGAATGGCCTCGGTGGGAAAGACTGCGATTTTGGAGCAGCTTCTCTATGGCAAGCACACTGTTGGTGAGATATTTTTACCTTTTTTTTTTTTTTTTTTTTCCCCCCCCTAATTGTTTCCTTTTCCAGAATTTTGTTCTGTGTGGGCCCCCCAAAAAGCCCGTAACTAAGGTCTGCAAACAGCACTGAGGTGAAGGAGGAAATAAATGTGGTTTTACTGCACCTCTGGGCAGTTCTTCAAATTTGTAGTCCCTTGTTTACCGATTTTTAAAAGAGGCTTGGAGAAGAACCTTTTCCCTGATGTTCCCAGTTATAAAACACCTGAATGCTTAAAAAGAAACAAACACCAAAAGTAGGTGTTGTGCTTGCTGCCCATTTACATAATATCTCTTTTCCTGAAAGACGTTGTAGATGCCTGAAAAATAAATAGGTATCACATGATGAGCGGAGAGACTGGACTTTTGTTCCATCTTCTTAAAGCTTTATATTGCTTAGTTTTGTTTAATATTTAATCAAAGAGCTTAAAAAAAACCCCTGCAAAACACAAACAGCTCTGCTTTAGGTCCCACATTCTGTGCTGAACTTCAAGGGCCAAGCTTCTCAGCTCTCATAGAAATTCTCCCGTGGAAAATGGACTTGAGAGAAGAGCATAGAATGTCTGAGACTGGCTGTGCACAAAAGAAAGGGAATGAAGGCAAAGCCACCTTGTTTCCCTCAGTGTCCGCATGACAGCTTTGAGAGGGAGGGCAAAGATCAGCAGGCTGATAAATTATTCCTGCTTCACCCAGAAACAAGAGGTGGCACTAGGGGTGAATCTCAGGCTTTGACAGAAGGTGTCTTGTCCATTTGTATCTTTTCCTTAGGCTGGTAAATTGAATGCTGGAGTAAGTGACTGGAGAAACACTAGGATTTCTAGAACGGTGCTTTGCAGGCGCTGTGCCTTTAAAATGTGTGGATGGGAGGAATTTGCTGGCAAAGCGTGATACAGAACTGCGTGCTAATACCCTCGTTTAAAGGGAGGATTTCCTCTAATGTTGCAGCAGCATCTGTTTCCAGCATCCTGCCGAGCCCTGTGCATGTAGCCCCGAGTAGCTTCAGCGTGAAGGTTGCAAAACCTGCAGGCTGAAGGTTTTCTCCTTCATTACTGACCTGCCTCTCCGCTGTGCTTGGTGATTGTCAGAGCCACCCAAGCAGCATGAGCAAGGCCACGTTGCTTAAATCGTGTTGTCTTGCATTACTTCCTCCCCCAAACTCCTACTAGTGACCCAGGCAGGAAGGATATTCGGGTGTTGCTGATCAGAGGAGCTATTTATGGAACCAGCCATGTACATGATTATACAACATCACAGATACTGGCTGACATAACCAGAGGGAGGCCTCGTGTCCAGGGTTTAGCTGCAGGTGTCCCTCTGTTGCTACCAAACCCTCCACTCCAGCTCAGCCATTGTGCAATGCAGTCTTTCCCCCTCTTCACTCAAAAACATATTTTTTCCTTTCCTGCAGCTCTGCTCTTACTGTTTTTGAGTGAACAGTAAAGGGAGGGAGCAGCTGATATTGGGGGTGTATATGTGTGTGTGTGCAAGGGGAGAAAGAAGAACGTAGTCTCCCATTTTATATGACTTTCATAGAATTGTAGAAGAGTTTGGGTTGGAAGGGATTTTTGAAGGTCATCTAGTCCAACCCCCCTGCAGTGAGCAGGGGCATCTTCGACTAGATCAGGTTGTTCAGAGCTCTGTCCAACTTGACCTGGAATGTTTCCAGGGATGGGGCATCTACCATCTCTCTGGGCAACCCGTTCCAGTGTTTCACCACTCTCATTGTAAGAAATGTCTTCTTCATAGCTAGTTGAAATCTACCCTTTTGTAGCACTTTTGATAGCACCCCCATGTCCGTCAGGCACAGTCTGGGGGTGAACTGATATGTTGGTGTTTCCAGCAATCCCACTGAGTGGCCACTATCCCCTCTACCTCTTCCTCAGCCCACAGATTGAGAGGGTGCCTGAAGTATGGTGAAAATGGTTCCCAGAAGAGATTTAGCTGCTGCTCCAATCTTTGTTGATCTAACCCTCAAACTGTGGAGGCAGGACACCACAGTGAGGGTCTTCCTGGACAAGGACAGAGTTTGATAACTGGCGAGTCTTTCATCGCTCCTCAGCTGAGTGGCTTTAAACTGCACAGACCCCCTTTAGTCCTAACATAGCAAGGGTGGCCCCTCCAAGCTGTAAACATGATTTCTGAATCTCAGTCCTCGGTCCCTAAAACTTGTGATCTCCAGAAAACTGAGGTGTACGTCTTGGCCTCTGGCCTTTTTGGTAGAAGGCGAAAGGACTAGTGTGTTTGCTGAAAGCCTGTTTGTTCAAAGCTAACTAGCAAGGCAGCTCACCAAGTATGGCAACATGGACACAAGCTGTTTCAAAACCTGTGCTTCCTGACGTCAGTCAGGAGCAGCCCTGTGGCTGGTCCGAGGGATGGGGAGCTGTGAGGAAGACTTCTGAGCCAATGCACGGAGTCTTTCCATTCCTGATGGCATCCACATCCTCCTACTGACAAGAGACATGCTCGAACTTGGTTGCAGGCTCAGAGCACAAGGTCTGGTGTAATCCTTTCAGTTGTCCCAGCCACTGACATGGGGGTCTCCTCCTGGCTGTACATTAGCTTTGAGTCTATATATATGCTCATATGCCTCCTGTTGACTTTCCTGTAAAAAGGAGTGGTGGCACACTTGCTATCAGGGAAGTGATTAGTGTCCTTGGAGGTTTCACGCTGCTATATAAAGCCCTTGGCTCTGAGCCCACGCTCCTGCTGTGTGCTTGGTGATGGTGCTGTAAACCCAGTTGTGCTGTCTTTCTTTTCCTAGAAACACATGCACCTTCAGCTCTTGGTAACTTGTCATGGGTGAAGTCCCTAAGTGCTCTGCTGTTACTTACATGGTCAGCAGCCAGCACTGCTGCAAAGGCACTGAGATTGCTTGAGGTCAAAGAGGAAAAAAGTACTTGGGAGGCAGGAATACTCCTCCAAAAGGAATAACTGTGTTGCTGGAGCATGTGAGCAACAATGTATGGTAAAGGGCTTTGTGCTAGGCTTTCAAACTGCAAGAAGGGCTGCTTGCCTTGGATAAGAAAGGAGAGGGCTGTCAGAGCCACATAAAGTCATGTACATGCATGGCAACCTCTGGCTAAACTGATACAAGGAATCAGACAGAATCTGAAAGATGGTGTTTGAAGTGGGTGCAGGTTTAGCTTGGAGTCACATAGGCACCGTATTGCCATAGGTCAGGCCAAATGGTTGTTAAGACTTGCATGTATGTCTGTGTTGCCTTGGTAGTGGGGTTGATCTCTCTTTTTGTGGCTTCAATGTTGTGTTTGTCCAAGTCCTCCATCTCTCTTGCTCTCCTAAGAAAGAGAGCCCAGTCTTTTCTTCTAGGTCATTAAATGGGTCATTGACTGGCAGCAGAAGTTTGTATAACTAAACACCTGTGGTACCTGGCAGTGCTTGGCCTGAGCTCTCTTAAAAGGGCTAATGGGCAAGTTGATGGCTTAACTTCAACAAGGGACATGTCTGTAAAGAGGATAGGTACTTTTCCTTAGACAGTGTTCCCATTCAGTGATGGTGCAGAAAGGATGTTTAAAACATCTCTGGCCCCTCAACCTATTGGTAAAGCTTATCAGATGAACAGGAGGAGATGAGAACTCTTTCTGTAGAAAACACAATTTTCCTTATCTCTGCCTCCTGGCTGTGCAAATAGCCGGTATGGTCAGTTAGTAATAAGCAGCTATTTCAAATCATCTTACAAGCAGAGAATGTAAACACCATGTATTACTGTGGTAGAACCCATAATGAGAGAATTTGCCTCGCTTGGTCTCAGCTGGAGGAATCTGGGGGTTTGGATTTCACATCTCTAAAGACGTGCAGGCTAATTAACCAAATTGTGCATCCTTACATCTTCGTTTCTTAAATCAAAACTACCTTTTGATAGAGCTGTAGTCAGCTTTGCATTTCAGAAATAGACGAAAAAAGAGCTGAATGTAGGCAACTAAGGGTTACGACTGTGGTTACTGTTTGGTGGGACCAGTACTTAAACAGAAGCTAAATCTAAGTAGACCAGCTCCTGCTAGGGCCTGTCCAGCTCTTCTCCTAGTCAAGGATCCTCTGATATGTTGACATTTGAGATCTAAGTAAGCAAAGCCTGTTATCCCACAGTTTATAAACACAAGGAATATCAGACTTTAGGAGCTCTTTGCTAAATTTCCACTGGAAAGAGGGAAGAACAGATTGCATAGGAGATCTTAAAAAGTGCTTAGTAAGATACAAAATTTGTGCTGCATTTATGTTTGAGAGTCACTTGGGAACGTCTGAAATTCCACCCCTTCTGAAACTTTTCTTTATTTTGGTATTTGCAGTATCTCTGCCTTGTCTAGTCTGAGTGTGCAGTATTCACTAGAGTACCAAGCCTTTTATTTTCTCAATGGGAAACCACCAAGGGCTGAAACACCACCCAATTTATTACTGAGGCTTCCTCTTGCAGTTCCTCTGTGGCAGCAGTGGGTAACACAGGCAAAGACCTTTCTGCCTCTCCCAAGACTTGCACCAGCTAAGTAGGTGTTAGAGAATGGCATCAATCTCCTGTCTGTTCCTCCTTTCCCTCCCTATTTTTTTTTCACCTTTAGTTTGCAAAGAAACTATGAGATTGTTTATTGTCTTCTTTGTTCCCCTTTCCTTTGCCCCCATGGCTTCTGAACCCGAAAGCTGGCTCTGTCTACCCATCCATCTGTGTCACAGCCGTAGATATATCAAAATATGTTCCCGTAAATTTAGAAAAACTGCTAGCAGGAGAGAGAAAAGGCCCATGGTAATGCTCTCCTCCAAGGAGAACCTACTCAAGCTAGCAGCAGTCTGCGAGGCAGCACTCCCAGCACAAGCTGCCCTTGTCCCCCCTGTCCCCCCCCGGTAGCATCCTGGTGACAAGGAGGATGGAATGGTGCCAGACAACTTCCTAGGACATTGGGTTTTCCTGAGTAGTTTTGTTGCTTGTACAACAACTTGCCCGACACATGTTTGAATGAAGACTGGGAAAGTGGGTGAAAGGGGTGGTGCTAACAAAAAATGTAAATCTTGTTGCCAACAAGATGTGGCTAACATATGGTTTGGGCTTTGGAAGCAGGGCCCAGAATAAGGTGACACAGGAATCTCTGAAAAGTACCTGTGTTTGCTTTGGTATCTACTTGTATATACTACCTCCCCCATTGTACATGGAATTTCAGCTCTGGAATTGGATACTGATGCATGAATTCCATTTCCTTCCAAAGTGTCCCCTCTCATTTCACATCAAAATTGTTGCTATATTCTGCTGACTTAACTCCCAGATCTTCATTTTTCCTCTTCATTTTCAAGTAGGATGTTAAAAGACATAATTTGCACTGTTACTTTTAATACCATCAGGAAGAAGCTGTCATAGGAGAATGTGGATATATTAAAGACGGTTGAATTACAGTGCAACATTTAGATGTTAAAACCCTGCCCGAGATTATTCATTGCTTTCTAAAAAGAAAACTTAGGTACTTACGGTGCATTCCTTCTTGCCACAGCAGTATTTACTGATGCTAGGTATTCCTTTGACCTCTCTGTACAGTGCAATGAGGCAGAGCAAGAAAAAAATACAGTGCTGTATTCAGAAAGGGCTCTGTTACCTACTTCAGTCTTTAAAAACGCCCTTGTAACACATTCTCCGACCACTAGAAACATGTTTGTGCTTCCTTTTCATTAACCTTTGTTTTGTCCTTCTCCTCTTAGTTTTGCTCCTGCACTATAGCATGGCTATATTTGGAGGCAAGATAAATTGATTTGTTGCAAACCTAATAAGAGTTTGATCTATGAAGACTGCACAGAGAGAGGCAAAAAGAACAGCTTGTGCCACTTTCCTGTATAGGAGTGCTGCACACATCATGGGAACATGCATACATCCGCGTGGGTGGAATGCTTTAGCTTGTTGTCAATGTGAAGTATTTTGAATAGTGTCACTGAACATAGCAAAATCCTTATTTTCACAGGCCAGATAATTCCTAGTGTTTTCTTAAACAATGCACTAATATGTCCCTTTTTGGTAGACAAAGGGAATAACGCTCATTATTGTAGCCCTCCAACAGCAAACAATTCATGTATCTAGGAGTGCAGTGGAGGCAAAAATGTGGATTGCAGGGGGTTTATATGAACACTTAAAACTGACTCTGAAAGTGGCCCAACTACACCATAGCTTAGTCAGGTATTTTGTTAGGATCTGTAACCTTTTTATGCACCAGCATCCAGGGGAAACACAAAGCTAAGGTGATCTATGTTTTACTTTGGAAAAAAATAATTTTAATTAGTTCAAAGTAAGCTGCCTTGAATTGCCTCACATTTACCATGGGGGGGAGGAAGGTAGGAGAGCCAGTACACAGATAGTTACTGTGGAGCAGGCGATACATACATTAAAGTTTGTTACCTTGTGCATGCTCTTACTTTGCAGTAAATGAGCTTGCTCCTATTAGCAAATAGTCATTTTAAAACCCTAAGGGATGGAAGAAGCTCACTGTGTATTTGAGTAAATATAGCATGCAACTTCTCTTGCATGCAAGCATCCCCTTCCCTTTCTGGCTTGATTTCACTTATTGGTTAGTTGTACCACCAATACACATTCCTTTCCAGAATTATTCTTTTGGCTTCTACTTCTGCCATATGATCCAGCTCAGTATGAAGCAAAGAAGTAGGCTCAAGATGTTAGTACTTGACTATCTGGCATTCCTTGGCTGTTATTCCAAAAGAGTATGTTTGGGCAGGCCTGTGTGCAGCATGTTTGGCACAGAACTGATAACCTGGGTGGCTGGAGTTTTGAAAACCTGGGGGAAGAGCG